CCTAAAGTGCCTGGCCAACGAAAACACTGCCTCGCCTCCCTCCCCCATGCAGCCCTGAAGCAGTTTTTTTGCTGTGCAGGCCAGTGGTGTGTTGGAGGGGGCACTAAGCCATAGCAAGTGGGGCAGGGCCTGTCTGGCCCCCAGGATAGCTTTTGACCTGCCCCCAGGCCCACCCACAAATTATGCCCCCCATCCCCCCAGACTCAGGAGGCACCAGTCAGCCCTGCACTGCAGCATGTGTGGTACCTTCCAGATGGAGGAAAAGTATATGGGGTGGGTATGAATGCAGACAAACGCAACAGTTATATCCATATAAAATTAGACCTGTATAAACTGCTGTTATGCATCAGTGCAGTAGTGGGCAGATGTGACAGCTCTAAGAAGAGCTAAACCTGTTTCATTCAGGTTTCAAATTATAAAGTGGTGTAGTTTCTTTATCCTGCTATAGGAGCAGACGGACATAACAGTTAAATTAAAACAGCTGATGCGTGTTCCTGAACAGCAGCTCTCCCCCTTTCTTTTAAAATGGTATGAAGTTTGGTCTGTCCACAGCTTGTGTGTGGTTTAGGTCTCCAAACTGTCTCTTGAGTAATGTGCAACATCATCCCTTCACAGACATGAAGGAGCCGGTGTTTGATTTTGTGCGTCCCCCTGTGTATCACCCTCCTCAGAAGAAGTTTCCACACCTGCAGCCTCTAAGGTACCTAGACAGGTATCGGGATAGCGATGAGCCCACATATGGCATTTACTGAGGTGCCTGCTAGCAGGCACACCTCCCGGGACGCAAGCTGTTGGGACAGAGATAGTCGGATGCACCTGGAGAACTTAAACAGCTCTGCTGCCTGGAATGGCCTGAGTCTCTAAGGGAGGATGGTGTGCTTCAGAGTCCACTGGGGTCCAATTTCCAACTCGCTGACAGCTCCAGAAAGTGTAGACGTGAGAGTTGTATATATTTGTGCCATTGGCACTTGCATGGCTGAAAGCCTTGTCAATAAGGTGTATTTATTGTCCTGGGAGCCTTTCCATTCCCATGGCAAAGTTTTTTAATGTGGAGCCTCAAGCCAAGCCAGCTGGTAGCAGGAGCTCAGTGGCCAGAATTCTGCTGATACCAGCGTGACTGCAGGTGGACCAAGCCTGGCTCTGTTTGATCAGCCAGTTCAGATCAGGTATCTGCAATAATAGAAACTTACCATCTGAATCAGACCCCAGTGCAGCCTGGCAGTGGGTGAGTTGTCCCAGCCTGTGGGCCCACTTTCATCCCTCCCCAGCCTCTTCCCCAGTGCTGGGATACTGGTGTGGTTCGTTGCTATTTTGTACTGATAAAAATCAGAATAAAGACCTTTTCCTCGCAGCACTGGAGACCTTGCTTTGTGTGAATAGGTGAGAGCACAGGGCAGACCCTTGGCAGCCAGAAGTTTATCAGGATTTTTCTTCTGTTCTTCATTTATTTCAGGGCTGAGATCAGTGCTGTAGCTCAGGTGCAGCCTCTTGCTGATATGGGTCCTTCCCCCTTCAGTCCCTATCGGTCACTGCAAGGCAGGAGAAATGTCACAAGGTGGTGGTGGTCCCTCTGGAAGGGTGACATCAGAATAACCCAGAAGGGTGGATGTGAAGGAAATGAGTCTTATCCTACATATAAACCAGGGTTCCTAGCTCTGGGATGGTTTCAGACAGCTCTGGAGCCAAGACTCCTTCCCCTTTCACTGAGGGTGTTGAATAGTGTGGATTTTGTTCCCAAACCTAAATACAACTAGATTCCATGCGTTGTCATGAAATGGGATTCAGGACTAGTATATAAAAGATTGACCCGACATCTCATTTGATGAATGACAAGCTTTATTTACTACAACTATTTGCTGTTAAATGAGCCTAAAGTGAAACTAAATATACTGGATTTTTCTGTAAAAGTGGTAGTATCTCACCAATACAGGCAAAGACATGGTCTCAGTCTTGTCAGCTTCTCAAGGCAAGGATCTGTTCACCAGAAGATCAACTGGGTGCAGTAGCAGTTCTTGTTGGAATGATTTTTGAAGCGCATCCTGTTAGTTGTTTTGTTGCTCTTTTACACCCTTTAGCTCAGCATCTTCCAAGTATTCTTGTAGTTGTGTAACTTGAGAGAGAATCCCAAGCAGCAATTAACAGGAAAATCCTGTTAATCAAACTGTTCATTATTGGTTATCACCAGAAAGTCCCAATTTTGATTGAATTGCCTTCCTCAGTAACAGGAGCTTATTAATTTCTACTGAGTTGGAACTTATCAAGAAATTGATAACCAAGAAAAACACAGTTTTTGAGGAGTTGTCCTTGGAAGATCAAGGGAACTACTGAGGCACAACAAGAGTAAATCAGGAAGAGACACCTATCAAAGCCCAGATGGAAAATGTCTTTTCCTGCATGAGTTAATTGCAAAGAAATATTTACTATACTAATTACTTAAAGATAGACATTTCATGCAGTTACATACCACACACAAGATCATGCTCAAACTCATCATAAACATAGTAAGGTAAGCTGGAAGTGATGCCTCCTTATTTATTTTCAGAAGGTCCAGCCACAAACTTTCAAAATATTGATGACAATTGCATAGTGCAAGAGGATGTATTTTAACTTTTGTGAGTAGGCCCAGCTCAGCTTGTGTTTTATAGTCATCATATGTATCAAACTCCGCCAGGTGGAAGGGCATGTTTCTTCCCAGTTCTCTCTTATTTACAGAGCACTCAGGAAATTTCATATTATGTAAAATAGGCTAAGCTGAGCAAGTGTTACTGCTCAGAAAGCTTGCGGCTTAGACTCACGGGTCTGATCTTGGTATCGGCATGCACTGTAGCAGGAAAACCATTCCTGGCATTACTCTATAACAGCTGCCTCTGTGCTACTTTTGCTTCCTAGTCCAACCCCATGTTCCCTCAGTATGGTTGGAAAATTGGTTAGAAAACGGAACTACCATTGGGCTCCAGAATAGATGGGAATGACCCTGCCTTTATTTCAGTAGTGGGACCAAGAGAGGGAAAGAAGCAGATGAAGTTGGTGGTGCGTTCCCTCCAGACAAGAGGTTTGAACTTCCTGCTGTCATCTTCAGACTTTTCCCCGCTGCCTAAAACATGGAGCATTTGCTCCCAACCCTGTGTCAGCATGCTGCTGCCACTTTTTTTTTTAACTTCATGTCTTGGGCCAAATCAGTTCTGAATTCTATCAACTGAGCAGAGCTCAGTTGTTCAAGCCTATATGGTGCTACTGCCAGTAAGTATCCTACTTCCCAGACTCTTTAGCCTGGGGCTTCAGATACTCCCAAATCCATAACACGCATCCTACTTGCAAGCCCCAAGCATGGAGGCCTTGGAGTTCAGATGCCCCCTAATCTTTTTTGCCCCTAGCCAAAAGACTGAAGGAGCAAGCAAGAGGGAAATCCCAAGAACAATCCCCCATCACCATAAATTGTGTAGCTGAGATCCTCACGTTGGAGGCATAGACTCTCACAGGACTTGACTTGCCCACACTGCAAGGGACAGGCCTTCACCTTCTAGCTCAGGGCAGGCAAAACATGGCCCATGGGCTGGATCTGTAAGTCCTGGCCCTCGCTGCCCCTCTGCAAGTGGGAGGCTCCATGCAGGAGGTGCTGCTCTGAGTGCTGAGCAGCCACCTCCCCCTGGAGCTAGGGGCTGCTGGAGACAAGAAGTCTCTGCCTGGCTGAGGCTTTTGCTGGAGACCCCATGCGCTCAGCTGTGCACTACTGGGCCATGTGGGGTTGGCTCCATGCTGCCTACACATGCAGCCGGGGACTTGAGTGGGAGCTGTATGTTATGGGGCTGAGTGGGGCTGGCCCCTCACACTGCTGCCACATGCAGATCCAGGGACTGGCACATTCCCGGGACTCCAAGGACCCTCCCCACCCACCATACCCTCAAACACCCCGCACGCACACTCCCATACCCCTCACCATAACCCCACATGCTCTCTCCCACATACTCCACCCCTTACCCACCATACTCACACTGCACCCCACCACACACACCAGCTCCCCAACCATACCCCCCACATGCAATATACAGGAGTAAGAATGTAGTTTGAACTCTTATCCAATTGCCTGTAGATACACTATGCAAACATACAAATCAGGACAAAAATATATTTTTTAATCAAAATCAGTTATGGTCAATGTTTAATTTTTTTTTTTAGTATATGATTTGTTTTCTTTTATGGCTTCAAGGTGGCGGTACCTGCCCGAGAGTACTTTTGGGGGCAAGGGGAGGGACTTTTGGGGGCAAGGTAAGAGGTTAGGGGGTGGGACTTCTGGCCCCAAGATGGTGAACGTGGCAGGGCACTCATCAAGGGGCGGAACTACTCTTACAGCCCTCCACAGCTCACCAAAACTCATTAAGTGGCCCTCCAGCCAAAAGAATTGCCCAACCCTGTTCCAGTTGTGTGAGAGAGTGCTCATGCTAAGCAAGGCCTAGTGTAATTAACAACGCACTAAAACTCCCAGAATGCTTCAAGGAGGTTGAGAAGTCAGCGACTGACATTCTGGTGATCACTATCTAACCCTTGAATAAAAATGCTGACAGTATGATAAAATTGCAAGCAAAGCAGCTTTTTTTTTTAAAAAAATATGGAAACGCAAGGCTAAACCGCAAGAACAAAAACAACCATATATCATGCTGATCAAGTCTGGGGAATATTATAAG